TCGGAAAGGGACTTGCACGGGATTCCACGCTGGGGCCCTGCGTGCTCTCCTTGCTGTCGTCTCAGATGTTGCTCTCGCCCGTTCAGAAGCGCACCGACCCCACGCTCCAGTTTGAATTGCCATAACTTGCCTAGGCCTCCCACATAACCGTGGCTCACGGCCAGCTTTATGAGGAACACATTTCTGACTTTTAAATCACACTCTACATAGGCACGCACACACCTCCCCCCCATCTTACTGTACCGAGCAAGGGTTTTCAAGAAAAAAAATACCAAATATGCATTCACAAAAATCAAATCCAGCATCTCAAGACCTTCAGAGAATCTCCCAATTTGAGAAGCTGCAGAAGTTTCTCGAGTGTTGAAATTTTAAAAAAATTCTTAACATGACAACATACTTTTGTAACTTGTGACTTTATTGCTCCTAAAGTCACTTTTGGAGGCTGACATGGCTCCCTCAGAGCCATGCGTAACTTCAATTCATGACAACAAGACAGGAATTTTATACTAAAGGAAGTGTAAGAACTCTCCCATAAATGCTGTAGAATTTTTAACTACCACGCCCAGCATATGAAAAATACTTAATAAAGTGTGCTCATTTTGCTGGCACTCACTAAACAACCCTCATAACTAAATCATAGCTTTACTACTCAGTAACTGCAACTCCTCCATTTACCTTAAGATCTACTTTAAAAAAAAAAGCTCAAAATGATTACTATTAATTTCCTGCCATGTATGAAGACAATAAACTAGACTTTAAACTAAACCAGCACGTGTTTTGTCTCATATATCAAACACAGCTCTTAAGTACAATTTCTCAATCAGGCATTATTCATTAAAAAAATACAAATAACATTAAATTATGAAGCACTAAAATAAATCAGTTTATCTCCTTACCAAAAGGAGCAGCAAAAAGCCCCTAAATACTCTTATGACAAGTTAATGATTCTGGTGGTTTGACCCAGGCTGGATGCCAGGTGCCCACCAAAGACGCACTATCACCCCCTTCTCCTCAACTGGACAGGGGAGAGAAAAATACAACAGGCTTGTGGGGTTGAGATAAGGACAGGGAGATCACTCAGCGTTTACCGTCTCCGGCAAAACAGACTCAACTTGGGAGAAAAAAAATTTATTACCAATTAACTCAGAGGGGAGTAACGAGTAATGAGAAATAAAACCAAATCTTGAAACACCTTCCCCGCATCCGTCCCTTCTTCCCCGGGCTTAACTTTATTCCCAATTTCTCTCCCTCCTCCCCGCTGAGCAGCACAGGGGGACAGGGAATGGGTTTGGGGTCAGTTCATCACACTGTTGTTCCTG